AAAGGGGGGACATCTGTAGTACTTTCAACAATAAAGATAAATTTAAAAGAAAATCTCTGCAAGTTCTTTTGAGTCTATAATTATTTTAAAATAAATACAAAGTTAAAAAAAAAGCACTGTTTTCCTTAGCTGCATCTATGATGAGCATTAATCCCACTTCCTGGGAATGTTGGAAGACTTAGAACTTACCACTTCTCTACTTCTTAACATCCTAGGCTACTAGCTTACCCTGAACTATGGTTCCATAAAGAGATATTCATTGAACAGTATTCAGTTCTCCTTTACTGTTCTTGGAGTATCATCATTGATTAAACCATGATTGACATTTCTATTACAACTCAATCATAAACTAAATTTGAATCTTTAACAAATTTCAGAAGTTTTCTGAGAGTCAGCTTCCTAGCATGATAGTCTGTGACTACGTTTCCTACTCTGCCTTGTGATTCTAAATATCCTAGCTTTATCGTATTAGACGCCAGGTTTCTTGAGGTCAGAAGCCAAGATTAGTCTTTAAAAGTAACTTATACTGAAAAAAGAGTAATCTACACTGCATCATTCTGCATGCTGAGGTGGCCTGCCAATACTTGTGCAAACAGACGCTGGTGAGCTACGAGTTGTGTTTGCTTCTGTTCACCTGTATTCTGACCACTTGACATTGAAATTTAGAATTTTGGCAACGCCAGCAAAGCAAGTGTTGAACACAGATTCTTTCTTTTTTTTTTTTTAATCATCACCCGAGGATATTTTCCCCATCACTTTTTCAGAGAGAGTGGAAGGGAGAGAGAGGGAGAGAGAGAAACATCGACGTGAGAGAGACACATTGATTGGTTGCCTCCCGCATTTGCCCTGGCCCAATCAGGCCTGCAACCGAGCTACATGCCCAGGTCGGAATCAAACCCAGGACCCTTCAGTCAGTGGGCCAGTGCTCTAACCACTGAGCCAAACGAGCTAGGTCTGAACACAGATTATTTCTAACAAACTATTTTTTTCTACCAAGTAAAATTCACTTTTATTTATGAAAGACTTAAGAATTTAAAATGGTTGAAATATATCTTCATATATTAATACATGAATCTTGTTTTATAATTCTGTATACTGTATAAATTTAAGGAACTTCCAGTTTCTCTATCGCTTAAATAAATAAAATTGTTATTGGTTTACCGGAGCTGGTAGATACACTAATCCCATTCATTAAAGTTGAATCTTCCTTGAACTTCCTTTCAAAACACCCTAGAAAATTTTAAAAGCCCGAGTATTATAGGAACACATCTATTCCTTTAACAATCTAATACACAGATGTAATGATGTTCTATAATGTGTTGAATTAGTATCATCTGTTAAACATCCATTGCTAATTCACTTTATAACGTGCTTTATTAAAAGTCATTAAAACCTGCAGCTGCATCCCGTAATCATTTCCTAAATATAAAGACTGCATTTCTAAATGCTCTCCTTGTTCAAAATCCTGCCATACACTCACAAACTCTTTGTTAGACACCAGAGAGCTTTTATTCTTTACAAAAAGAAGTGCTAAGTAATTCATCAGATGCCAAACATTTTTTTTTTTTTTTTTTTGGTCACATATCAGCCTTGTTCCAAAGTGCTCAACCTTTATGTTCACCAAGAATAGTTATAAGATAGTCTTAGATGGATACTCAGGACTTTTATCTAGTTGAGAGCCATCTTGCTTCCCAGATTCAACCTCTTAATACGTATCCTTGATAAACCTGTAAAAACACAGAGATTCGGCTCAGCTGAGCACACTGAAGCAAGGCTCCTAGGACAATATTCTGGAGCTACACTTTGGGAGAAGAAACTGCATTCATTTGGAGTTTTGTTAATTCCGTTCAGGAGGAAGTAGCCCACTGGGGGCTTTCAACGCTTGTGTAAATAATATAAATGATTCCGAGGCCTCGTTCAATGGTTTATTCTATGATTAGACTTCTAGTATACATATCCAAAACAACAAGTTCAGGAAAACAAAGTCTGGATAAAACTTAAAGAAATTTAACTTTCACACAAACAATTAAATTGTGTGCAATCGGGTTGCTGCAGGTCCCACTGGCCAGCCACACTCATTAGCTTACCTGCCTGAGCCCTGTAGGCATTTGAATTTACCGTCTATGCAAGGAGATGTGAATTAGAGTTACTTATTTCTATGACTAAATCCCCAACGGGGCTGGGCAAAGGGAACTTCTGCTCTGCGCAGTTTCAGGCACCCACAGGGAAAGCCTGCCCTCTGCACCGCGGGGAAGGCAACTGCGGCCGCGTGCCCACGGGCCCACCTCCTAGATCACATTCTCCGCTTCCATTCTGAGGTGCCAGCCTCGAGAGTCTACACTAAATAATTGACAACCAAAATATCAGCCGAGCAATATGCCACACGTCTCCTGCAGCGTCATTAATTACTCCACGAGGCAGTTTCACCTTCACATCTGTCAGATAGGGGGGGGGAAATTGCGTCGTGTTAGGAGCACATCCTAGGTCTCCTAGGAAGGAATCCAAACCCGTGTACATCTCCTCCCCCTCAGATGATCATTTCTGACCTATATAGAGCAATACAGCCGCCAAGCAGCTCAGCGGCATAGATGCCCCTGCTCCCTTTCTGCTCCACAAGGAGGTTCACGTAAGTGGTAAAGGACAGTTGGGAATGATTGTTCCTCGGAGTGTACTTGCTCCTCTCGGCCAATGCAAAACAAGGGCCCATCAGCCTACCAACAAATACATCTTAACTGCCTTGGGATTTGGGGGCTGACGATGAAAAAGAGGGTAAGTGTGGACATGTACTAGGAGTATTTCATTATCATTTAGACGTCCTATGAAATTAAAAGAAAAAAGGAAGGAACTGTAACTTTTCAAAGGGGCAAATTCTTCCCACGGTGTTGGTTATACAAATAGCATCGTATGCGCTGACACGGTCGCAAGAGTCCATCCAAAGTCAGCGCTCTCCACAGAAGCGAATGTGCACCGTGGAGCTGATGGGGGCCTTGGTGAATGTCAGGCGCGGGCTATGGATCTGAGCAGCCGCCTTTACCCCGGGAGACCTTTTTACTAAAGCAGAATGCTTACCAAGGTCACAGGGAAAGATGGTAGTTTTAAAGCTCCAGGGGAAGACTCCAGAAAGGAGAACCACAGAAAACAGACTTAATGAACACTTCAAAGTTTATGGTTTGCCAAGAACCTGCTTTCCTCTCCTGCTGTTTGGGTTTCAGTGACAAATTCATTTTGTAGAACTAAGACGTCAGAACGCCATCAGAAGCTGGTCCACTAAAGGTCCTCGTTCTCTGCACCCTGGCGGGTGTGGTTTGAGCGAGCAGTCTTAACCTTTAAAAGGCAGGGAAGACTGCTAAGTAAAAATGTGTGTATTTCTTTAGTTAAGGCTCTACAGGTGTAGGTGTTCTTGGGTGTTCAGGATGAGAGTGTCACTGATCGGTCGCCTCCTGCACGCCCCCTACTGGGGATCGATCCCGAAACCCCAGCATGTGCCCTGACGAACCAAACCTCCCTCTCCTGGGTCCTAGGTTGATGCTCAACCGCTGGGCCACACCAGCCAGGCTCTACTTGAAACTTTTTGAATTTCGTTTACTATGTAACAAAGACAAGATCACTTTAAACTGCATGCATAAGACAAAACAAAACAAAAGAAAAATAAAAACCCTCTTAACGGAAAGGCCAGATTTTGGGAAAACAAGACATACATAAACTAAAAAATATGTTAGGTCAGCAAGATAAAAAATACCCAACTAAGAGTTTCCTGTAATTATATAACCCAATATACATAATAATTTCTATTATTCTTGTCATATAAGGGACTTCCGAGAAATGAACGACTCAACAATCAAATATTCAACTATGTGATCAGGCGAGGTTTCCTAAGATTATGACGCAGGAACAATCGTTTAAAAACCAAATTGCTTATCTACTTAATCCATAAGGAAAAATAACACTGTATATAAACTTCCTGTGAAATTCTAGGGGGGAGGGGGGAAGTAGTGTTGTAAATAAGCAGAAAAACAGTGTTACCACTTACCTGCCAGGTGAAGAATGAGGTCTTTTCGTTTCTCTGGGTAGTTCTGGAGCCTCCTGTCACAAAGCTATATCCAGGGACAGCTGCGGTCGCCTCATGAACGGTGTTTATTTCCAAGGGCGCGGGGCTTGGAGCGTTTCCCCTCCTACCGCGGGGCCCATGGCTCTGGGGGCTCCGGAGGCCTTCGGCGTCACTCGTGGGCTTGCATGTCCCCCGCAGCTGCTGCTGCTGCTGCTGCGAGTTTCATGGGTGGGCCCAGCGCGCTCCTCGGGGCCCAGGCCGGTAGTTGTGGCAGGTGGGGAACAAGTTATCGTCCCTCTGTTGAAAAGGGGGGTTGGGCACGAGGGGGTACTGGGAGCCCCCCCTTCTAAATGCGGGGGGCGGGGAGGCG